CTTTGTTACAAAAATTTCTTTCTTACAACACATCTTGTTCATTATTCTACGGAAACAATTTTTAAAATTACATTTCTAGTATCAATCATCATGTGTTTTCCCTGTAGCGACATTGTCTGCATGTAAACGTTCTTATTTATGGATAACACGATTGTTGGTTTTGATCAAATTATTTCAAATACTCAAATACGACTTACCAAATTGTTAATTAAATGCAGCTTTTAAAAAGTCTTTTACAGTAATTTTATTTTAAATTTATTCAATTATATTGCTGCATAGCTAATTTATAGATTTTTATTCTTTTATTGCTAAAAACAATTTTGATCAGGACATTCAATCAAAGTTTTGAAGAGTTGACTTGAATGATTAGACAAATCATAATTTTGTGTACAAGTTTATTATTCGATTCAAGTTGTAAAAATTATTTAACTCAATTTCTAAATGATAACAATCAGCTTTAAATCATTTTGAAGTCAAATTTATGAACATTTTTTATTATTTTATTTTACAAGTTTTATTGAATTTTATTTATGGTTTTTTTTTCAATAATTTGTATATTATTCAAGTCAACTACATTTGTTTTTGCCTCAATTAATTGTAAAGGTTTCACATGTTTTATCAAGTCATATATTAATATTTTTGATTCGATTAATATCATTTCATTTCATCAATTAATTAAATAATTTTTTTTTCCAAGTCCAATTTTTGTGAAACCTTTTCGATTGAGACAGACGAGTTAATTTTTCATGCTATATCATCCCAAGGTTTAATTTGTTATGGGGAAAACATGTTGATTCAGTCTTTTTTTATTTATTTACACAAGTGCCTTTTATACATGTTCTAAATCAATATTAAACAATAAAGTTTGTACTTCTCGTATGTATCAAAGATATTGAAAGTTACATTATTATTATTCCATAAATAGTCAATCTGAATTTTTTTTTGTTCTATAATAACACTATGAGCTTACTTCGTGTTGAATTCAGAATTTTTACATAGTAAATTTTTGTTACTAAATTATTAGTTAACCAATACAGCTTTTTGTATGCATCGAATACTTATTTGTTGAAGGGGTCCTAGCACCCCACCTTAGGTAACTCCTAAATTGATGGTATTTTGTTACAAATTACAAATTACAAATTTACTTTGTTGCTTTTCTATTACACCTCTTGTTTATTATTCCACGGAAACAATTTTTAAATTACATTTTCAGTATCAAGAATCATGTGTTTTCCCTGTAGCGATATTGACAGCATGTAAATTCTTATTTATGGATAACATGATTGCTGGTTTTGATCAAAATATTTCAAATACTCAATACGACTTACCAAATTGTTAAATAATGCAGGCTTTACAAGTTTTTCATCATAATTTTATTTTAAATTTATTCAGTTATATTCCTGCATAGCTAAATGATAGATTTTTATTCTTTTATTACTGAAAACAATTTTGATCAAGACTTTCAATCGAAGTTTCAAAGAGTTGACTTGAATGATTAGACAAAACATAAATTTGTTTACGAGTTTATTATTCGATTCAATTTTTAAAGGATAACAATCAGCTTTAAACGGTTTTGAAGTTTATAATGTTCAAGTTTTTGAACTTTTTTTATTATTTCATTTTACAAGTTTTAATAAATTTCTCTTAAGGCTTTTTCGAATAATTTGTATATTATTCAAGTCAACCATATTTGTTTTTGTCTCGATTAATTGTAAAGGTTTCACATGTTTTATCAAGTCATATAAACAATTTTGATTCGATTAATATCATTTCATTTTATCTATTGATTAAATAATTCTCTCGAATATTTTTTTTTTCGAAGTCCAAATTTTCTGATTATAATTCTTTCGAATATTTTTTTTTTCTAAGTCCAAATTTTCTGAAACCTTTTCGATTAAGACAGACGAGTTAATTTTGCATGGTATGTCATCCCAAAGCCCAACAATCGAATGAATGAGACCCACATTGAATATTTCATAACAAAAAAATTTTATTGGGGCAAAGTTAAGAATTTTAACTAAGTCCCAGTAATTTTTTCTCGTTGTGAAAATTTCAACGTGGACTTCATTTCATTCGAGTGTTGGCTTTGGGAATTGGTGTGAGGGAACACTAAAAAACATAAAAAAGTTTCAACGTTGAACAGAAAAGAGAAATTTTCATCTGGGACTTAGGGGTTTTTTTTTAGGCTCTCCACCTCCCCCTTCCCCTCTTCCTCCTTCTTTTTCCCCTTTTTTCGCTTTTTTTTCATATTTTTTTCCTTTTTTGGTGTTGTTTTTTCACATGTTGTGGTTTTTTTGAAGATTTTTGGGTTCGGCATGCATCGTCCGCGATGTGTCTCTCTGTGGTAACCTCTCGCATCATGATCCTCAGGTTGACCATCACTTCGCGTGTATGTTTCAGGACCTTCGCGCGTCTGCCAACAGCCAGCCACCACCACTGCTCCATTTTTTCTGCTTCAGAGTTGGTCGTCGTCGTCTCCAGCTGGATTCGATCCATCTCACCTTGTGCCTCCAGAGTGATGTCACCGAGTATGCGGTCACCTTAACCACTCGGCTATTTGATATATTGATGTGCCTCCAGAGTGATGTCACCGAGTATGCGGTCACCTTAACCACTCGGCTATTTGATATATTGATGATAATAGTTATTTTTATATTCTTATAATGTATTAATATTGAATTTTAATAAAGTATATATATCATACCCATCTCTCTTATTCATCACCTGCCTCCACCCTTCTCTTTTCCCCATTCTTCCTCTATCTTCGTCATCTCTCTCTTTATATCGCTCTCTTACAGTCAAGTGCGAACCTTGAGTTTTTCAGAAATATTCTAAGTGTCAAGGTCGAAATGCGCCACCTGAATTTAATATTTTGAACTATTATTTGACAATTATGAAAAACTAGATATTCGATTTTTCAAACCTATTTGAGGATTTGAACCAACGAACATTGAGCAACCGTGGTGGTAACTTAACGATCTCGGCCAATTTGTTATACAGAACCTCTCCCATACTGTATTAATATTGGATTAATATTGTATTTGAATAAAGCATATGTCTCATACACATCTCTCTTATTCATCATCTGCCTCTACCCTTCTCTTTCCCCCGTTCTTCCTCAACCTTCGTCAACATCTTTATATATCTCTCTTACAGTCAAGTGCGAACCTTGAGTTTTTCAGAAATATTCTAAGTGTCAAGGTCGAAATGCGCCACTTAAATTTAATATTTTGAACTAATATTTGATAATTATGAAAAACTAGATACTCGATTTTTCAAGCGTATTTGAGGATTTGAACCAACGAACATTGAGCAACCGTAGTGGTAACTTAACGATCTCGGCCAATTCGTTATACAGAACATCTCCCTGATTTGTGAAAATATAAACTCTTAAAACTGTTGCATGGTAACCGTCGCTAACATAAAATTTTCAGTAAAATTATTTTGCGATTTTTTTTGCCACGCTAACCGTTACCATGAGAAGTCACGGCGTATTCACTGACATTTTTATGAACTTGCCCTTCCCTATTATGTTAAATTAAAATAATTAATATTAAAATTTGAATTATTTTCGATACACAAAAAAAATATGAAAAAAAACGAATAACTTTTTTTCCTAAAAGCAATTGTTTTGCCAACACAATCAGAAAGTTTTTTGAATCATTCCAATCGGATGCTTACTTCTCTCAGAAACTGCATTTTTTGTACATTTAGTATACTAAATACAATATTTATTTATTTATTTATTTATTTATTTAAATATATAGCCCACAGATTTCTCCAAGAGGACTCAAAAATACAATTATTTGACATAATGAATAACAATTAAAATATACACAAAATTACAATATATAGTTAGTAACATAAAATGCTAAGATAAAATTTCATATAATGCAGAATGTAACAATAATATTTATAAACAGAAAATAATAAGATATTTGAAAGAAAATAAAAAGATTAACTTGTGCAGATGGAGATTATTTGATTAGGTGATGTGTTGTGAATGTCTATTTCATTATTAATTAAGTTAAAGTTAGAGGACATTAGTAAAATTGGCGAATTTAAGAGAGAATTAGATTTAGGGGTGGGATAATTGAAAAATAATTGTGAACGCGAAGATAGCCTTGGAACATTAAAGGATAGTTGATTGAGAATAAGAGGACAGTCTATAGAATTATTGCAAAGCTTAAATAAGAACATAATTGTACAGATAAATCGACGTGAGGCAAGGGAAGGAATACCAAATTCTTTTAGTAAAGTGTTGTGGTCAAAGCCACGTTCAGGGTAAATTTTATATGTTTTATAATAAAGGTATTTCAGAAATTTTCGCTGAACCTTCTCTATCGCATCAGAGTTGTTGATATGATGAGGATACCAATATATTGTATCTTTAAAATGGCTGGATCTATCTTTGCCAAAAACTAATCACCACGTCTCCCAATTATTACAAATTGAATGTTTTTTTTGTTCATTCAAATCGGAGGCCCCGCTCTCTCAAAAATTCGAATACTATTTTCTGCATTCTTTGCTCCGTATCTCCGAAACGGCTGGACCTGCCTTTGCCAAAAACTAATCAGCACATCTCCCTTTCAATAAAAACCATTTCCCCACGTTCACTGTAAATTATGTTTTTCTCAACATTCTTAAAGTAGGACTTTTAGAGTAAGAGTAAGAAAAACATATTTAATATTTACATTTTTTATTAATTTCTCAGATAGGTATTTGATATTTAACATTGGTGCATTACAATATGCTTTATTTACTAAAAACTTATTTGTTAACTTATTAATACTATATAAATAAATAAAATATAACAATATCACAACTTTTTTTTATCTTATTGTTAGAAAAAGCTGCTCTAAAGCTGCACACAATATACGAAACAATCAAATATTTTTATAATTGGTTTAAAATGTTACTATCACATTGTTCAATTTAAAAGTATCTTTTTCTAATACTGATATAAAACGTGATTTTTATATAGCAAGGCACATACTATGGTAAAATATTTCTACAATATAAAATTTTGTTAAGCATTAAAAAAGCCTATATGACTTTGATATGTAATGTTCAATCACTTTATTCAAACCTATAATAAATATTTATAAAAGCGTTATTGTTAAAAAATGAATTTAAATAGAAAATTGATCAACAATTTTAAGTTCCATTTAAAATAAATCAAATAAAAAATAAGGCACATGAATATTAGGCATCACACCCATGTTACGTGATTTAAGTGGTTCCATTGCTTACATAATATGTTTACGTGAAATGTAAGTGCTCATTAGCTAATTGGAATTGTTTTTACTAGTTTGGATAAAATATTTAAATATTGATTACTTAATGATCTGCATGCTATGAGAGTCAATTAGAGTTACTAGTCATAGACTAATTAAAATCTGATAACATTTATTTTGGTTCATAATGATAGCCATTGCAGATCTTGCAATCAATACGGTTTCTTGTTATTGAGCATTGCTGCCTTTTATTCAAAATTTCTTCAAGCTCATTGATAAGATCGCTCATAATCTGATTTAAATATCTCTCCTTATTACTACCACACAACTTTTTGATGATATTTTGCATTTCCGTAAAAAAACTGTTATTGCTTAAACTTCGATCTTTCAAAAGTAGGTAAGTTTGTTCGCTCAAGAATGCATACAAAAAGTTAAACAGAAATTCAAACTGATTAACACTGCCACCTTGTAAAACTCTACCCAATTGATCATGTAAAATTAATTCTGCCTTTTCTATAAAAGTGAATAAGAATTTCATAAACATCTCTTGAACATATGGTACGAATGAACAAAGGTAAAAACTGATTCTTTCAATTACGGCATTTCGACCACCATCTTGAGCATGCTGCACAAGATGCAGCATTTCCATTATAATTGTTTTATTTGTTATTGCTAATTTTATTATATTTTGAACATTAGCTTGAGTGCTCCTTAACTGCACCGTTTGTACAGTGCTAGATGGAGGAGGTGGTAATCTTGAAAATGTTGAAGCTTGGTTGGTTCTATCAGTAGCCCAGAATTGCATTGGATCAATAGTCTCTACATTGTTGAGTTTGGCATAACCTGTAACAACAAGATTGCAAAAATCTTAATGTGCGTCTTAATTTAACTGATTTTAAAGAAATTATATGTGTAAGTACCTCAAAGAAAATAGATAGAACTTATTGTTTTATAAACTAATATTGAATGAAATTATTAAATAAATTACATTTATCAATTAAATAACCCTTTCCATTCCCTTGCCAAACCCAGTCATAAAATGATTGTCAAACTGTTTGTTGCTTAAATATTACTTAAAATATAGAGAAGATTTACTTTAAAATATAATAAAACAGCTTAGTTATGTTTGGTTCAAAATAATTAAATATTTTTAGATACTTAAAAAAGATTTTAAAAAAATCTAGAACTGGTAAAAGATTTAAATTGAGAAAACGTTTGAGAATAGAGTACTTGGAAATTTTCTTTTACATGAGTATTAACAAGCTATAAACCTGTATGATATTAAAATAAACCTTAAAATATTGTAATTTTTGTAATTAATAATCAAATATTAATAAACCGCTGATAATTTTTAATAAAAACCACAGTTAGATAAGAAAATAGTAAATCTCACCATCTGGAGAAAAGGATATTTTGACATTGTTTGCATTCAACCCTTTATTTATTCTTATAGCCCCAGCGAAAAAGTCATTTTTATCATTCACATTATTAATGAAGCGTATGATATCACTTCTGCCAGATGCTTCATTTCCAGCCAATCGTATTGTTTCTTTCTCCATTTTAGTAAACATCTTTCTAAAATATAAAAAAAAAACTGTATTAACTTCATATTACAGCTAATTTAAACCTCAATTAAAATAATAATTTGGAAACATATGAAATGACAATATTTAGATGCTTTTAAATGATTTAATGACCATGAATTTTAAATTAATATATGAATAATTGGCACAATTGTGAATATAATTTGCAATGAGGAGTCAAGCTTATTTTACAAACTATTTTGGTAGATATACCATAGAAAACAAAAAAAAAGTATTTCCTGAAAGTACTTTGTCAAAATTATTCAAGTATAATGATACCTGTGCCTATTGCTCCTTAAATTATTTTTGTATTCCTCGATAACCTCATTCTGCTTATCTTTTATCATAGTCTCTGCTGTCCTTACATTTATTATAGAGTGAGTGAAGAAAAATATTGAAGTAGATACTTGGAAAAGCAACAATGGATCAGGAGTTTCCTTTTCATTCACAACAACATCAAATATCTGGTAAATGCCATGAGCCACATTTACTCCATTCATTGCAATTGAAACACCATTTAAAACATTTATTAAATTTTTCCCATGCTGAAATATATGTTGATCATAATGTAAGAAATGTTTTAGTACTAATCCTAAAATTTTATTCATTATAAATTTAGTAAATATTTCATGCACATGTAGATCTACATGTTGTTTATTTATTTTAAAAATTTAATATACTAACGATTTTAAATCATGATTGTGCATTCAATTTTAGCAAAAGTTTTTTTTTCGAGTAATTCCGATATTTTCTACTTTTGCAAAAATATTAAATCTAATTCAAACTTAATATATTTTTGATTTCAAAAAAATTATTTTATCAAAAAAAGTTGGGTATGTAAGATATATGAAATAAAATCTTCATTTTCCTTACGTAATATTTTTTGCAGGCAAATTACATAATATTTATGTAATTCTTTCATAATATCTAATTACGTAATGCAGATTACATATTTCTTACACTAACGTAACGTAATATTACGTAACTGGTTTAGTGGGAAACAATATATATATTGTTATATATATATATATTTCAAAAAGAAATTTGAATTGTTTTTAATATATTAATATTACAATATTTGAAAAGCATTAATATTATGTCACTCCTAAAAACAAAAATGATATTTAAAATCTACAGAATTTCTACTCTATCCATATAAGTGAAAATATTAAATTTATTTGTAATTTCTGGAGTAACTACAGTATTAAATGAGTTGAGTAATCCGTAATTATTAGTTATTTGCCAAAGAAAGGATAAATACAATGAAATTTTTAAGTCTGGACACAGAGAGAATTGTTGAAAAACTACAGACTTTCCAAAATTTTTAATCAAATTTGATATCATATTTATTAATTTAAGGATGTATACTGGTCTAGAAGCATGATATTTGTGAAATTTTTCAAGAGCCATAAATAATAGGCAAATAATATTTTTACTACATTTTTTTTTACAAGTTATTAATTATTGATTTGAGAATATAAAAAACAATGAAAATTAAAAATAGTCAAAGTTTTAATTCTAGAAGATGATGAAGTGGGGGGTCTCAAAAAATAGCACATAATTATACCCATAATCTTAGCTATCCAAATAATCTGAACAAAAAATATATAAATCTAAAATAATGTCACAATAGTATGGACAAAGTAAAGAAATGTGCTTTTAAAAATAGTGACTGTGTATTCAAAATAGCAACTGCTTGACAAAAAAAAAGTATTTTTTTTACAACTTTTTTTGATATTCCCGAATCCCAGAAAATAGTAAATATGGGAATTTGAGAATGAGCCTAGTGCATACTAAATATAAGTCCATAAAGAAGACTCTGTAAAAATTTCTAGGAAATTGGCCCAGTAGAATCAAAAAATCCTTGTTATAGTATCGAAAAGAGTTTCAATAAAATTCTTGTACACATATTCTAGAGTAGTTAAACTTTGAAATCTAATCAATTTAAAAAAAATTCTAGATCAGAATACCCCCTTAATTTAATGTTAACACTGCCTAAAAATGGCTTTTATATACCATACTGATCAAGCTAATAAGTTTCAATAAAAATCTATAAAATGAAATTTATATTACATGAAACTTTTAATTAACTCTTCCACAACTACAACTCTTCGCTGTACATAGATTTTTAAATAAAATACTCACTGCACCAACATTAACTCCTCGGCCAACAATATTTCCCAATAGCTTTGTTGCTCCTCCAGCTGCCAAGCCAATTGAACCGCCCGCAATGCCAAACCAATCATTTCGAGCTTCTTTGTCTTTTATATGCAAACTCTACAATGAAACAGGTAAATGTACACATACATAATTTCAACATTCAAAGTACTGTGTTCAAAGTTATTTGAAAATGTGAATACTGTGAATACCTGTTTATGGTGACTGCGATCAGCGAGGTTGAAAGAACTTCTTATAACTGAATATGCGGCTGAGGTCGCGCCGACTACGCCTGCTCCGGCCATAACGCCGGCTGCCACTGGTATAGCTGGTATCGCTGCAGCAACACCAACGCAAGTGGCGCCCACCGAGGCCAATAAACCAGCGGTATCGGCACAATTTTGGACGCGTTTCAATACAGAACATGCAGGTGATTTATGCTCAGTCAATAGTACCTGTATAAAAAATATTAAATTTAATGAAGTTATTTTATAATAGAAATAATAAAGAGTAAACAAAAAATCTAACTTATTTTCAATTTAAGCCTATATTCAAAAGCCATGTCTGTTGAATTAAAGTGTGAAATTATTGAAAAATATGAGGATGACGAGGATGTACAAGATGTATGCATGTAACTTGTCATAGACTTGCGCAGTTTTTAAACAGAAGGCATTGACAAAAGGTTATACCATGGTTACCTTCAGCTAAAATTCTTACAATAACCTATAAGCAGCTTTATGAGCCATAGAAGATTGTGTATACAAAATAATCATTTCCACAATATCAGGAATTTACAGAAAAAAACAAAAACTAGTGGTGTATGGCATCACGCCTTAAGGCAAATAGCTGGAACTTCCCTTACTTTAATGAAATATTCAAGGAATATTAAATGTTTTCAAATAAATTATTATAAATAATATAACTTTCATTATTCTTATTTTTAAAAAGTAAATGAACAAAACAACAATCAATCGAATTTAAAATGAAGAATAATGTCTATATAAACAGAATTTCAAAGTTATAATTATTTATTTGAAGTATATAAGTGCTGTTTAGAACTTAAGATAGAATTAGAATTAAAATCTAGATTAATTTTCGACATAAGAATTTTTTTTTTGTAAATTAAAAAAAAAAATTGAAGTAAAAAAAATTTCTTTCCTCAAAAGCAACCGTTTTGTTAACACAAGCAGAAAGTTTTTTAAATCATTTAAATCGGATGCTTAGTACTCTCAAAAACTGCCATTTTTTGCACATTTAGCTCTATATCTCCAGAACGGCTAAATCTGCCTATACCAAAATTTAATCACCATTTCTCCCCATCATTAAAAATAGAATGTTTTTTAGATCATTCAAATGGGTTGATCCGTTCTCTTAAAAACGGACAGTTTAGCACGTTTTGCTCCATATCTCCAAAGCTGCTGTACCTGTCTTCATCAAAAACTAATCAGCACGTCTCCTCATCAATAGGAAGGGAATGTTTTTTGAACCATTCAAATCGGATGATCCGTACACACACATACACACATCCATTTTTGCTGAGGTATGCCAAAATGTTCAGAAACCTCTAAAACGTGAAGATATGCAAAAATTGTCATTTTCGATTTTTGGCCCATTACAATAACTTACCCTACGAAAAGTTAATTATATTAAGAAATAGTAAATTTGTTTTTGATATTCAAAAATAACTCAAAAACTACAGATACGAGCATGGTTACCGGGCGAATTAAACTGTATGTTTTAATACTATGAATAAAATGGCATATAGAACACACTTCAATTAAATGTTTCATATGAATGCAATGCTAAACCGAGATATTATCACATTGACAACTTTAAAATCATTAGAATAGTGAAAACAAGTCAAAACGTGTTTTTTTAAATTAAAAAATCATATGTTTTGTTTGTTTAGTTTATAATTTTAAAACTGCAGAGCAAACAATGCTTTTTATTTAGAATTAGGATTGCTTGCTAATATGTTCAAGAATAAATCATTCATTCCACTGAATAAGTAGATAAGTCACTTTAAATTTTTACTGATGTATTATAATTTTTGAATAGTTATGTAAAGTCACAAGTGCATGGAATGAACTGTTGAAATTTTATCATTACAACTTTGGTATTGTTTGTATTATACTCATAACTGCTTGGTCAAAATTTGACCATACATGCATTAGTAAAAAATCTTACTCAATACTTAAACTAATATTTGTAAAATAATTTTAGCGTATGATGATAATTGATTTACCTGTGCCTCGCCAGAACCTCCTAATGTTGCATTATAAATGCCATCCATTGGCACTACTAGTATGCCTTTAGGCAAACGATTATTTTCTAAATAGGCATTCCATGATTTATATGCACGGCCTTCATGATCAACAAATATAAAGCATCTTCCTCGGCTATCATATTCATCACCAACAATGGTAGCAATTGGTTTTGATTTTGCTGAATTATCTAAAATTTTAAATATTAACAAAATCATTAAATTAGTATGATAGAAATATTTAACAACCTTCTGTTTACAATATTTATAAATATAAATTGAATAATACAGTCAAATGAAAACAAATACATTATTTTTGTTAAAGTAAAATTTGGAATAATGAAAAAAAATGTATTCATTGTAAGTGAAAATTATAGTTATATTAGCAATCTACAGTATCTATATCAATTTTTGATAATTACCTGTAAAGTCTTTGACACACTTGCGAATACGAAACACAGGATAAAGCTCATACACTACTGATGTATTATCTCGTACTGGCATATTAGGAACTGTACCATCTTTATTGTGTACACAGAGCACAAATAATACTGCCATATGAAGCTCATTTGTGAGAAAACTAAATTTATCTACAATAACATTTATTTGAATACATGTTAAAAGAAAAATTCAACAAAATCATGATTTCTGCTTACTTTGAGCAATAATTTGTTTAGATATTTGTTCAATGATAGCCACTTGTTTGTCATCATATCCTGTGTGATGAATCAACTTTCCTTGGGAGTCCTATGAAAATTAGAAAAATGATATATATATATATATATATATATATATATATTATATATATGTATATATATATTAAATATGAACAACACAACACTAATATTTTTACACACACATTATTTAATAAATAATGATGTTTCGAGACCATGGTATGTCTCATCCTTGGTGTAATTTCAAAACAGTAAAACTAGATATTATATATATATATATATATATATATATATATTATATATATTTAATACATTTGAAATTGAAATTTATATATGTTTAAAATTATACTGTATATTGCATGAATACTCTTCATAATTCCACATGCTAATAATTTCTATCATTATCCGCACCTAATGCTACGATGTTCAAAATATTTGTGCACAATTTTTGTATTAAACACTAAAACATATGAATTAACATTATTGGAACTCAAGTTTTCAGTTCACTATAAAAACTAAAACTAAATTTCGTTTAAAAACACAGAGTATGAATCTTGGTATCTTTCATGTGCCAAGCAAGCACGTACTACCACTTGAACTATGCCCCCATCTTAAGCATATAATGTTAAAATGCTGTACTGTTTCTATTATGCTCTATCAAATACTTTATAGTTTGATATATATATATATATATATATATATATATATATGTATATATATATAATATATATATATACAAACAAGGCTAAATATAATAGCTGTTCTATGATACCTGTACAGTTCCATCAGGCATTTTTGCTGGAGCCCCAAAAAGTGCAAAACCAATTTTTCTTTCCAAAGAACGCACATCTTTTTCTAAATTATACCTGCAATGAATAATTACTGCATTAAACTTAATCTTGAATTAAGAGGTTATGTTCACACTTACAAATCCCAAGTGACACGACTTGCATCGCCAAAATATTCATAAAACTCTTGTTGCTGTGATCTAGGTGAAATATTTGTGGCATTTTCCATATTTCAATATATAAATATTTAAAACAACATACAAAATATAAATAATTAAAACTTAACAACGTTTGGATGGGAGATAAAACGTTAACAAGCAGGAACCACATATATTTCTAAAACGATAATATGACTATTAATTTATATCATGTGTACTGGATGCATGTTGGCAGTGTTGCCATGTCTACAGTTTTAACTGTAGATCTACAGTTTTTTGGGAATGATCTCAGTTTTGCAGTTTTGGGCTCGAAATCTACAGTTTTTTTGCTGAAGGTGCTAGCGCCGTTTATTTTATTTGTTATGCAGAACTTAGTGGCAGTTGCACTGAGTCAACTTCAACAAACACTATTGTTAAACTAGAGGTAATGACCATTGATTATTTTAATAGTATACGCTAATATGAGAAACTTTTTAGCTGATGCTTGACTGTCAACGCAAAGAAAAACGGCGTGACTAGCGGCGAAAAGCAAATGCTATCCGTTATCTCTCGTTAACTAACCAACCTTTCTATTGTTAAATATTTTCCTTCTGTAAGTCATTTCTTGTATCTGTAAGTCAATCTAAATCGATTTGTCGACACAAAAAATAGATTGTTAAAATTAAAGTTGAAAACTGTTTGTTAATGCGTTGGAAACATATTGTTATCAAATAGTCATATTTTCAACATTTACGAATGTAATATATAATCTAAACTAGTGGGGGTATGCATACATGGCATCGTGCCTTAAGTCAAATTGCTGGAACTTCCCGTACCGTAACAAAATGATCGAGGAATATTAAATGTTTTAAAATAGATTATTATAAATATTGTAACATTGTCTATTTATATTTAAAGGAATTATATAAAAAAAAAATTGGAAAGTTGAAATTATTTGTTTAGAGTATATTAAAACGTTTTATTCTGTACAGAATTAAAATAAAAATCTGAATTATTTTCGAAATACAAAAAAAATTTTTTTGAAAAAAAAATTAAAAAGAAAAATTTTGAAGCAAAAATTTTTTCCAAAATCAATTATTCTGTTAAAACAAGCAGAAAGTTTTGGAATCATCCAAATCGGACGCTTAGTTCTCTCAAAACTGCCATTTTTTGCACATTTAACTCTGTATCTTCGAAACGCTAGACCTGCCTTTGCCAAAAAAACTAATTACCCCTTCTCCCCGTCATTACGAATTGAATGTTTTTGGAATCATTCAAATCGGACGCTCCGATCTCTCAAAAACTCGATTTCTATTTTCTGCACTCTTTGTTCCGTATCTCCTAATCGGCTGGATCTGCCTTTGCCAAATACTAATCAGCACATCTGCCTATCAATAGGAGTCAAATGTATTTTGAACCATTCAAATCGGTTGATCCGTGCGCCGAAAACGAGGACAAAAAATTTGTATCCATACATATATACACACTCACACACACACACATACCATTTTTTGTGAGTTATGCCAAAATGTTCAGAAATTACAATTACTTACCCTACGGAACGTTAATAACCAATATTTTAAATAAAATATTTATTGCATTTTGTTTCGTTTAATACTCAACTAGTTTAAGTTTGATTCAAATCTACCTTTATTAATAATAACAAGAAATAACAAATAATTAATGAAGTATACAATATATTGCGTAAGCTACGATGGAAAACTTATATTCAAGAATTATCGCTTTTTGATAGGCATCGATGATTGGGATGAATGAATATAACAAAACCGTTAGAGATCATTATTGCTTTCAACTTTTTTTTTCAAAAATACCACTAATGTTATATTTTATTAGTTGCTATGAATATTGTATCATAACAATATAATATTACCATCATTTAATGATAAAACTGTAGATTTACAGTTTTTCAATTTGAATCTACAGTTTTCTACAGTTTTTTTTTTGTCTATCTACAGTTTTTCTCTATGGCAACACTGCTTGTTGGTGATAAAATGAAATAAAAAAGTCTGAATGTGAATGTGTGTGAATGTCAAAAGTATAAAATTGACATTACGGGGAGTTACCCGATTCTGAAATTATGTCCATAGATCCATGATACTAGCTTAGATAGGAATGGAATGATCAGGTGCAACATAGATAAGATGGATAAGAAAGTAAAAAGTGGTGGATTCGGTGGAATCATGAAGAAATATAAAATATACTAGTGGTGTATGGTGTATGTATCATGCCTTAAGGCAAATTGTTAGAACATCTCGTACGAAAAATTAAATTAAAAAAAAGATTAAATATCTAACGGACAAACGATATTACGAAACCTATAGAAATGTAAACAAAATTGATACACATTATTAAAATCTCTATAAAATATTTTTGACTTCCAAATGGCGTTTTTTTTCCTTTTTTTACTAGATATCCGAAACCGCTAGACCTGCATCACCAAAAATTCAAATAGTTCTTCATCTTATCAAAATAGGTAAAATGTTTTTTGAATTTTTGAAATCGGATGCTCTGTTCTCTTAAAAACCGAATTACCCTTTTTGGCACGTATCTTTGAAACGGCTAGACCTGTCTTTGCCAAAAACTAATCAGCACGTCTCCTTATCAATACGAATTGTCGACGAAAATATGTATCCGCACACACACACACATGCATTCATTTTTTCTAAGGAATGCCAAAATGTTCAGAAACCTTTGAAACGTTAAGATATATAAAAATTTTCATTTTCGATTTTTTTGGAATTACTATAACTTGCCCTATGGGAAGTTAAAAATAGACAAAACAAATAAAATGAATGAACATAGGTAAGAGCATAGATATACTAGTGTTGCATATGCCATCGTGCCTTGAGGCAAATTTCTGGAACTTTCTGTACCGTAATTATTAAAAAAAACTTTGCAAAACTTTTTGAGAAATTTTGAAATTTTTGAAAAAATTGACTTAATTGAGAAATTTCATTTTTTATATATTTTGATGGAACCCAAATAATTGTACACAAATTTGTACTATGACTAATGCATTAGATGTATTAGATGTATTAGATGTATTAGATGTATTAGATGTATTAGATGTATTAGATATACAATTTACAATTTTACAATTAAATAACAAAACAACCAAATATAAAATACAAATAAAGGAGTGCTAAACTAATTTATTTATAGATAATTTAATATAATTAGACATATGTATATCGTAATATTAGATATTTTATAAAGATTATTAAAATAAGTACAACTTTGTGTATATTTATATGGTTTTTTGACCATCAAAGAGCATTGTTTTTTACTTTTTTTATTGGATCTCCCTCCGGTGACGCCGGATTTACCTTTACCTTACGAAAAATTTTACCTTTAGTTCATTACGTCAATACAAGTAAAATATTTTTTGAATTATTTAAATCGGACGCTCTAAATAACGAAAGCCTATGGGTTTTTGAAAAGTAATTTCAATATAAAAATGAATTAAACTTCAGAATAATATATAGGGTGCTAGCAAATAGCTATTATGAGCATATGATGTTCGCAGCTGTTAAAATAGCACGCACACTACGCACTCAAAATTTTTGCTGTTTCATCGATTTTCTTTACAAAAAAACTGAATCACTAAATCATTTAAGGCTATTCTAATATATGAGATTTATCTATATATGGTTTGCTGGAATGCGCAATATATCGTTAAGAGCAAAGGTATTAAATAGATAAATAAGTAGTTCTTTATCTCGTAAGCGATTATTTTTTTATAACAATCAATAGCGATATGAAGCGTTTTGAATGCATGTGTATTCTATTCGCTCAGTTGACAATAATTGTAATTAAAATATTGCTTATCGACTTGAAGTCTATTTACTTAATAGTCAAATGTTTTGTCATAAAGCCTGAAAGTATTTCAAATATCTTATTGTTGGCAAATAATGTGTGAACTAAAAAAAATAATTCTTATAGTGTTAACCAGCGCGACTCTTCTTTAATTTTTAACTATTATTTACCTTTGGTAAATCTGATTTATCTCCCAACTTTTACCCTTATATGCCACCTAGATTTACTCTAATTTTATGTTAACTCAGTTTTTAATTTTTTTTACTAAAGTTACTATTTTGGTTGCTTCAGTTTTTATTTTTAAACTATTTTATTTTTTGCTGAATAATGACAAATATTTAGTGTTGAAACGTATATATGTAAATATACATATAATATTTGTTATATACAAAACTTAAATTAAATACATGTTATAAAATTATCGTAGTGATTTTATGCAGGTTTTATTCAGATTTAATTTCAGTAAAATGCTTAAATGTATGTTTTATGGGAAATAAAATTATAAATCACTATTTCCAAAAAGAAAATTCCAATACAGACGCAATGACATGTAAGAGAGAAATAAAAATAAAACCTAGTTCATCCATTGTATACACATTTAACTCCTTTACTTCGTAAGTTCTTTTGAGTGTTTCTATAATAAGACTTTGGTAGAAATCTTCTCTCCATTTCAAAACCAGCCCAGATTGTCGAATTCTCATCAAGATTCCGTTGAATCTGTCTTTATATGGACAATCTCCTGTTACTATATGCGCGTTGTATCTATTTTTTAAATTAATTGTATCAAAATTTAATAGTATATTCATAGATTATTTCATACATGTACTTAATGTTTTATCATAAAAAGTGCAAAACATATATAAGGTTTTTTATTGACTCAATAATAATATATTAATAATGCATTGCTAATTGCAACCATAATTTTTTAACCTGTTCACATTGATATAATTAGATTGCTTAGATATTAGATATACCTTGTAGGTGGTCCTTTTATTATGTGAAATAAACTGATACCAGTAGAATTTGAATACATCTTTAATGAATACAATTTAGAACTTAAGTAACTCCATAATAGTGCAGAATCTCTTTCTGTGCCAACTCTTCTTAAATTTTCTGTAACATTATCACTTAATACTTGTCGCCTGTAATGACAGAAAATCTAGTTTAATTATATACTTTAGATGTATAGGGTTAAAATGTATATATTATTTTGTGTTTTAAGATAATTTACTTAAACTCCATATTTTATAAATATAATTGTTGAATGAGTATCTGATACTTTATAAAAACACAAAACAAAAACTGATTTCATTATTAAATAATTGTGCTAAATATCCACCATATTTTAAAACTAAACGTTTTAGTGTCCAATTTATATAATAATTATAATTGGACATAAGCTTAATAAACAAAATTCAACAGTTTTATCAAATGTAGAGTACCATTTATTGAATGACTGAAATTTCGATATACAAATGAAGAAAATATCTACAAAAAATCTGTCATCTTGGTCTGCATATGCCAAATAACAATAATTTGCAATTTTATTTGTCAAATTTTCAAACGACATCTTTTTTCCAAAGATGAATGAATTTTTAGTAATTGAAAGATTTAAATCAATTTAATACGTTTTTGGGAAAACGTACTAGCAAAATTGTTGAATTAAAATACATGTCCAAAAATATAAATCTTTTCTATCACAATTACTCAACTTACGGAAATTTAATAATTAGTTATAATTAAGGTGACCATATGTCCAGTTGAATGTCCTTTACTGGACAGTTGTAAATAAAAGAGATAATAAAAAAAAATATGTTCAAGTCAAATCTGGGACTAGAGGGAAGAGTAAACATTTAAAATAGTAAATGCTACTTATAGACCAGTCATTTAAGCTTAAATTAGGTAAGAATCTCGGAATTCGAGATACCTAGCTGTAAGTCTGTAAATACCTGTATATTGACACCTAAAGGTTGTCTCAAAACCTACATATGGTAGGGTGTACGCAGGATATGTAGGTTTTTACAACTTTTAATATAGCTGGATATCTCGAATTCCGAGGTAAACTTACTATAATGACTGGATGATACAATAAAAAATAGTTTTTTATATGATTCATTTTTTTTTTAAATCAGAATTGCGAACTTCTAGTAAGAACCTTATTATTTGATTATATGTAATACTTTTTTATCTTTATTATGTTATATTCTATATTTTCTGATATATTTTTTTGCTTTTATAGAAAAGCCTTCCAGAAAATTCTATTAAATTTTCTTTATAATTAATTTGAAAAAAATAACACTTATTTGTTTATTTTTATAATTTTTTGTTAAACTACTTATTAATTTTTGAAAAAAAAAACGGGACAATCCGGAATAAAAGATCTAAATCCGGAACACATATTGCTTTTATAAAAACCCCGGGATACAAGAGGAAAATCCGGGACTGTCCCGGTCAAACCGGAACGTATGGTTATAATTATATTTTGCTAATACTAAACCAATCAATCTTAACAAAAAACGGGCCGAGATTTTCTATTCCTGCTAAATCAATTATTTGCAGATTTTTTTTTCTACATTTCACGAAAATACTATTATTAGATAATAGAGATAATTACATTATCACAAGTCAATTCGCAATTTACTGACTAAATTAGTGCAAATAACAAGTTAATAATTCAATTATTTGGCTAACCTATAAAGTTTCATATAGATGCCACTTCATCTTCTGCTGCTATATCTTTTAGAAGATCTTAAAGCCATAAACAGTTCTAATTTTTAAATTACTTTCAGCTAATTCTTCTATATCCTTTATATCTAGAGATATTCTACTAGCACTGAGACGCTCAACCATCTTACCTAAAATAAACAGATATTTATTTAAAATATAAATATAACATTACTTTGCATCAATTCATCCCAACAGAAAGTCTTAAATAACGATTTTTTTCGAATGAACATTGTTTCAAGTACGGGTAATAAGGACAAAATGACACAGTGGCCTTATTTAAAAATTGGCTAGTTTTATTAATGGTTAGTAATATGGTGATGTCCCAAAGAGGACAAAACGATTTATTCGTGATTTGCTTCTTTAAAATTAAATGAACAATATGGTTTTGGTAATAGGTTGCATTTTTTTAAAAAAAATATGTTATCACTGGTAGTCAATTAACCATAGATGAGTAAAAATGATTGAGACTAGTTATAATATCAATAAATAAATAAATATCATTAAAAAAAAACAAACCACCATGCCATTTTGCCTTTTTTCTATAACTGTATGTCATGGATATTTTTTTAAATTGGCTATTACTATTAATAGATTATTAAAATAATGTTAAGTTATCTATATAGATGTGTCTTTAATTACCTTGATAAGTATAGCTAACAATCATAGAAAACAAAACCACAGAAATAAACAAACACCTTTCATATATTTTTCGCCGACTTTTTTGAGAAACTTGTAGCATTATGCCAAATAGCATCTGTAAAATATCTTCAGTTCGCATTAAATCTCTGTCTAAATGCTCTTCAAGAAAATGTGGTACATAAAAATTGCTTTTGATTCGTAGATTTACGTTTTGTAGAACATACCAAATAAGGGCTGTAGCCAAAAACATGCTGAATAATGCAAATGAAGTAGCAGTATCATATATTCTCAAAAATGAAACTGCAAAATCTTCATCCATTTTTGGAACGAGAAAAGTAAATTTCATTTCATCTGCAGGAAATAAAAATTGCGCATTAGCTTGTCCATAGCTTTTGATCGGTCGAATGTTTCCTAAAATGTCAGCCACGCCACTATCAATGTCTAATATAGATCCTAATAAAGTACCATTATTCAATGCACCACCGTATGTCAAACCATCAGTTGGTGTGAAATAAATAGGTGTAAAATTTATGGTTTTAGCAATAGAATCTATCAAATTTCCATCTCTGAGTTTATATCGGATTAGAGTGTTATTTGAATCAAATACAGGTGAACAAGTTCCTGCGTATCCAAAAATGCAAACGCGCAAAGGATAGCCATGCACATTTAATTGTCTCTTGTTAAAAATATTCCAAAAAGCTTTAGATTTTAATAAGTCATCAGGTAGCTTTAAAGTATATATAAAACCTCTTTCATTATTTTTTTTAATAAAGGGATCATAGTACATTGCTTCAACTTTCTTTGCGTCATCAGAAACCCAATATACAACAGTATTCAGCATTTTGTAGTTTTCCCATATATTTTAAGAACTTCCACAGATTCGTTTCGACTTGAATTTGAATAAATCGTAATAATTTTTGCATTGTTATTTATTTTTGCTAATGATTGTAATCTATTAAAGGAAGTTTCTGGACTTTGCGATACGACGAAGTAAAACGATCTGGACTTGGAAGAAAACACTGTTGTTCGATCTTGGGGCTTCAAATTTTCTAATCTGAAAAAAGTTATTAAAATGATTGTGGATTTGCTTATATATCTATATTCATATATACATATAATACACTTACGGCTCTAAATAAAAATATCTATACTCAATACCAAACTTTCCAATTCCACATGACAATAATTTTTTACCCAGACTTAGCGATTGATCTCGAGTTATTATTGTGTTTGCATATCTATTCTGTAAACAAACAAAAAATATAATGTGTTTATATATTATTAGTAGTTGTATCTCTTTATCTTAACTTCTAATTTCTACTATCAATGTGGTTTTGAACAGCTGTTTATTCAGTAGAAGTTAATCATTCATTCAATCTTACGGTAGTTTCATCAGTTTTGGTATTCAGACATTATGAAAAAAATTATGTTAAATTATAATTGTGCTAGTGACGAAATATGAGATATTTTATTTAAAAACTGACTATGCAATTGTTTTTGTACTTCACAAGTTGTTACGTTTTGCACGTGGCAGAAAATCGATTTTTTTCATATACATATATGAAAAGAATATAGTTAAAAAATACAACAGCATTTTAACAGGCTTTCACACAGAATAAAAAAAAACTGAAAGAAAAAACTAAAAGAAAATAATAAGAACTATTTTGAAATTTTAATTACTTTTAATTTTATTTTCATTACTCTTAGTTATTCATTTTATTTTAGTATTATGTTTTTCTGCATATATAATTTCTGTATATTATTTTTTGTTACCATCTATAAAACTTCATCAACTCACGTAAGTTAAATACTGAAAATATTTTATATTACTCTTTAAGATTTTATGATTATTGTAGAAGTTATAACATAAATACTAATACCAACTACTAGTAATTTATGGCAACGTACCTTATGGAAAATTGCTGGAACTTCCCGTACCTCAGTGAAAGGAATTCGAAGAATATCAAATGTTTTCAAATAGATTATTATAATTTAGGTAGCTTTCATTATTCTTATTTTATAGACAAAATATAAAAGCTTATGAATTGGACGACGACGTTTATAATATACTTACAGAAAAGTAAATAAACAAAACTTAATAAATCGGATTTAAAATGAAGGACGTTGTCTAATATTTATAAGAATTATATAAACTGAATTGCAATTTAAAATTATTTATTTGAAGCATATAAGTGAGCTTTAAAGTTTTATTTAGAATTAGAATTGAAATCCAAATTATTTTCTATACATGTTCATTAACACAAAAACCTTTTTTTGGAAATTAGAAAAAACAATTGAAATAAAAAACTTGTGTTTCGTCAACACAAGCAGATTTTTTTTTTGAATCATTCAAATCGGATGCTTAGTTCTCCCAAAAACTGCAATTTTTGCACATTTAGCTCTGTATCTTCAAAACGGCTG